AATTTGTTTTCAGTTTTGAAATCGTGGAACACAACCAACACATCGTAGTCGTTTTCCGCGTAAACATGCCACAAACAGTGGGCGTTGTGTGGATAGTTGGCGGGATATCCGATTGAAGAGAGGATGTAGGGACCAGATGATAGGTGAATGACGTCTGTTCCACATGGCTCTGAACGGTTAAAAGTGTGGGGAAAGGAATATCGTGTATTTCTCAACAAATGGTACATGGATATAAAATAATAGAAATGCCTTGGATAAAAGCGCTATGAATGGCCGTGCTTTTGTGCTTCAGTTAGATGAATATATCTTCTCCCACCAAACTAGATGTAGAGTTCACATCTTTCATATCATGACTGCTTACGTAAGCACCCAACGTTGAGTTAATAAGTAAGTTGGTGTTCAAAGAACAAGCAAACATGAAAACACAAAAATTCGGAGCAAGAAATCATTCTGCGCATGCGCCATGGGAAAATAAGACGGGGTAGGCCCTATCACTGTGCTTTACTTACGATATACTTCAAAACGTGCTAAAACCAGTTTTATGAGAAACTCAAAACCAAACTTTAAGTGCTTCTGGTCATTGTGATCCCATCACATGACCTCTTTTTCAATGCAATAAGGCCAAAGTTAGGCAAAAATAATATTTATTAAGAAACCTCTTTCAAAGAGAGTCCCGTAAAAGAACATTTGTATTTCCAAGAACATTAACCCATCCACTGTAATCAACCTTGATACATTCCTAATTTAGTTGTGCTGACAATGACACAATCACGAGCTTATCAGAAGCCAGTACAAAATATCTCAAATGTGAGCACCAAAAACCGTCACAGGACTGAACGCAAGATAATATCAACAGTATCAGCCAAAAACTGACCCATGAATTCCGAAAATCTAAAATACATGACGAACAGTGCAATGAGGCACTCTTGTACGAAGATGAACATTTATGGTTTGAAATATTATCGTAGTCCGTCGGTAACAGCCGAAATACAAACCGATATAAACCGAAAATATTTTATATAGCCTTATAATTTATAGGTAATGAACTTAAAGCAATATTCTACTTCAATTACGAATTTAAGATTCTATTCTTTTATCAAACCTTTGCTGCGTGATGTGAACTCAATGGAATCTGGAACCCATTGGGTAAATCTTTGCAACGTTGTACAATATCGTTTTCACGGAAGCACAGGTAGTGAAAACAAACGTGCATTAACATATAGACTTAGGTACAACATCGCCAGCCGTGAAAGGTCGTTAAGAAAATTTATATTTTACCAATCTCCAGGTGAATTTTCCTAAATATTACATGAAGAAGACAAAGTGAAAATCCCGACATTAGTGTTTCATGGGGTGGTTTCAGTTAGGTATTATTCTTCCAGAAAATATCCAACGTAATAGGACGGCCCAATGTAAAATCCCCATAAGAGGACTGTGCGTATGGTATGGTGTACTATTTACGACAAACATTTCTCTCTCTCTTTAGCCTCCCTCCTGGCGACGCAACTACACGACGCAACGGCACGACGGCTACCTTGCGTCGTGCTGCCGTAGGTCCTTTCTATGTTGCATTTTTTTGTCGCCTAAACGTCGCTCCTTCCGTCGCCCGTCGCGTCGTACCGTCGTGCGTCGCGTCGCCTATTATGTCGCCTGAAGCACGACGCGACGCACGACACGACGCACGACGCCACGCCACGCGTCGTGTGCTGTTGCCCTTTGTTTCTTGGTGTTTATAGAGGGCGCCTTTACTGATTTCTTTCATTTCCGCCCCGGTACTTGAATAGTAGGGTACAGTCCACTAATTCAAGCCCCATTGAAAACAGTGTAAATCGGCACTGTTCAGGGCCCAATAACATGTTTACCAACATCCATGAGATTGCTGAAACAAAAATAAAATTATTGTCCGGTCCCTAATCTTTCGATTTCTTTTTAATTTATTGTGGGCTAACCAATTACATTCTTAATTATTCCAACAAAACAATATCACCCCCAAAAAGTGATTTTTCCGAAGTCTGATTGCAGCCATTTTTTAAGTGGCAACCCTCAACCTTCTCGACCACTTAAAACCATTTTTCAGTTGTAGTTTTTAGCCATTCTGCTCTCACAGGATAGCTCAAAGACCCAGGCAGTTGATTCTGGCAACGATTTACACAATCTCACCATTTCGGGGGCCAAACAATCTCCCTTTTTTCAGACAAATGCTGGGCTGCTACTTTTAATGCTAATGAGCTGAGCAGACATTCTTACTTGAATAGTGGACTGCATGCACCCAGGACATGGCATTCGCTTGTTGTACGCTGCCGCCATGGGCATGCAGAGCCTTGAACTGACAGCTTTTGAAACATTGTCCAATTGTATAGTATACATGGTAGAAGAACTAAGGCAACATCATGCCCAAAATTACTTTCCAACATACACGGAAAAAGCTGCCAGATCGAAGCTCTGCATGCCTATGGCGGTAGCGTGCAAAGAGCGTATAGGTAGCAGGTTATTGTTCCTTTTCATGGTTACTTTCTAACTTGGTGTTTTCATTAAGAGTGAATTGTTGAAGAAAAGGTTTGTTTGTTTTTTTAATCAAAGGTAATTAGAAAGAGCGTCACGACCAACAATCAGCCTTGTCTCCAGGAAATAAATAACATGAGCCACAACGCGTCGTGTGTGTACAAACGTAATGGCAAGAAGACTACGGTTCGATCCGACGGCACGACGCAAGGGAGCCGTCGTGTCGTCTGGTTGCGTCGCCTGGAGGGAGGCAAGAGAGAGGGAGAAATGTTTGTCGTAAATTGTACACCATACGTGTGTGTACAAACGAAATGGCAAGAAGGCTATGGTTCGACCCGACGGCACGACGCAAGGGAGCCGTGATGCCATGGTGTCGTGTAGTTGCATCGCCTGGAAGGAGGCTAGAGAGGGAGAGAAATGTATGTCGTAAATAGTACACCATACCGCGCGAGGGCTCCGGAAGCTCGCTGCCTGACCTTTTACTTTCAGGCTCTTTCGCGTGAACTCAAGGTCAAAGCCTAGCTGCTCTACATATTGTGAAGATTTATTGTTCAACTTCAGTGCT